TGTAAAAGATTGTAAAAATAATGATATTTTTAATAAAAATGCTGATTAGCCCTCTTCATAGGAGGTGACTTTAAATTATATATCTAATAAACATTGCAAAAAACAGCAAATTCCAAAAACACGTATCCTCTATTTTTATCCATAGTTTACGTACACGAAGTTGCAAAAAAATAGATCAACATTTAGTGCAAAAATTTAAACAAAAATGATAAATTTTCAAAATATTATTTAAACAAATAAAGTTTATTGAAATTTTTTTACGCACAAAAATCCCCTATTTAAAGACGAACAATTTACAAAAAAAAAAGAATCCAATTATCTTCTTCAATTCCGGAGATATTCCAAAAAATATGATTCCAACCCCCAACTTCGAGGGCTATTTTCACCCCTTCAATGTGAACGATGGCCGATAAAAAAAATACGTGTCAAATATTTTCTTGAGAACTACCTTTCACATAAGTTACATTAAAATCGGTGTGTCGCGGTTCAATATGTTTCCTTGTTAGGCGTGGACACTCTGTATGCATTACACAGTTGGTGACATGGTCATATACTCGTTACACAGTAGGTGACATGACTATGTATGCAATGCACCGGTGACATGCTCAACTAAGAATGGTGGTATGACAAATTATAGTATATTTGAGTATACGTAATGTAATATATTTGAAATAGTAACAAAAATCGGTAGTATAGTGGATGCACAGCGTGCCGCAGCCTTTTATCTTCGAATTTTACTCACGTAATCCATATGCAAAAACAAGTCGAAAAGATTATATTAACATAGCGTTTTAAACACTTTATTAAAAGATTACAAAATGACTTCGGACTATTTTTTTAATATACTTTTCGACATATGTATAGTGTATCCTAGTTTTGTACGTAAAACAGGACCAGCAAGTTTCATAAATAAAAATTATAAAAAATGTTATATAAAAATAGCTTAAGTGTTGTATTGAAAGATTAGGAGGAATATACGAAATAAAATGATTTTCTTCTCCAATACTACATGTGAATGATTGTCGACTTTTATACCTTTTTAAATAACATTTAATAATGTATTTGAGACGTTCATAGTACTATTCTTTCTTATTCTTTTTCTCTAAAGTCTATATTTTCGATGATATTTAATAAAAACTGTCAAAAGCGGTGGGATATGGAGGTGGACTAGGGAGCTTTTAGGAACTTTCTTCTCTAATCAAGGGTTTATAATTTTAGCACAATCGGAAGTTTGCGCTTTTCGGAACCCTTATAATATACTGAATCTAATATTTCAGATTTATGGGAGAAGAACACATGGCCAAAACTAAAGAACCGCTAGTGTTGACGGATAAACCAACATGGATCATGGACCCCATAGATGGAACTCTCAATTTTATTAATTCATATCCGTTTTCATGCATATCAGTGGCTTTGTCAGTTCGTAAGGAAATTGTGATAGGGATTATTTACGATCCGCTGCGGTCAGAATTATTCACTGCAATCAAAGGGCATGGGGCGTTTTTGAACGACAAGCGCATTAAGACCACTAACGTCACTGGTAATTATACACTGAATATGATTTAACAATAGTAAGAATTTTATTTCAAAGAATTAAATATGAATAATGATCGCCGGGAATTTTTAAGAATATGGTGGTTGCTTAATTAATTAATAATTTTTAGATACTATTTATCTTCTATTTTTATATGCAATCAAATAAACATTTTTATATTATGTCTATATTATATTATAACAGTTTTTTTTTATTATAACATCTATTTCGTAATATTCAACACAATATCCAAAGTATTAGTATCAAAGAATTAATCTAACGACTTATAGAAGCTTAAAATTACTTAAATAGCTCGAACTCGAATAATGTACTAGTAAAAGTAACTTAAATATTCTTTTATATTCTTATATATATTTTATCATTTTTCTACATTACTTTAATAAGTTAAAATAGTTTATAATTATTTTAGTAGACAGCAGTGTGAAAATAATGACAATAACATCAAATTTAATAATCTAATTATCTAGGAAAAATTAGAAATTAACAATGACACAAATCCGACAATTTGCTAATGTAAAAGTGATTTAAGATTCATTTAACAATTTGACAATACTCAAAATAAATGTAATAGTTTAAAAAGGATTCGACTTAAGGAAATTACTTTAAATACAACAATTTAACTACATAAGATAACTCAAAATAGAAACATTTTGTATTATTCCAATTAATGCAATAACTGAAACGATGAAAAATTCCTAAACACGACTAAAAATAGTTTATTTAATATCACTATAGAAATTGAAAGTAATGTAACATCAGTATATACCATAAGGAAAAAAATTAATTTAAAAAATGGATACCATAAAGGAAAAAAATTAATTTAAAAAATGTTGTAAACGATGCAGTTTTTTCGTTACAGAGTTGAAGAAAGCTTTGATAGAATTCGAATTGTTTTCCTTGTTCATCCCAACAAAAAATCGGGACATCAAACTGGGTAGATTAGAAGCCTTGCATCGCGCTACACGAGGGTAAATATTACTTATTTTACTATTTCGATTTTTTTCAAATACATGTATCAAAATTTTATTATTATTTGTTTAACATTTTAAGCGTCAAAATATTTCACTTGCATAATGAAGGACTTTTAACTAGTGATAAATTACAATAAGGTGAAACTTTACGAACTTACCCACTTCACCTTATTTAAAAATTATTCTTCTTTATACGAATGTCAAGAAAGTATTTTTACAAATTTATTTTTAAATCGCCAAAACTATATATGGATAGTATATTACAACATACTTCTTTTCAATTTTCGTTAATTTTTCCCTGACTTTAATTGTACTTTCAGAAGAAAAATAGTTCACAGATCAATTTTTATTACGTTTAAAATCAATATTAAAGAACAAAAAATGACCAAAAACTAATTTAACAGTATTAAGTCCTTTACTGAGTAAACAACTTATATTTACTTCAGTACTTTTTTCTAATGTTTATTTACAACATTTCCTAATTTTATTGTAGTTCTTTTCGAAATAATGAACTGTATACATTCGATCAGCAGATGTTAGAAACAAATGTGACGCGAAGTATTGGAATAGTTAATATTTGAATGTTTAGGATTCGATTCATGGGATCAGCTACGTTATCTTTAGCATATGTAGCAAAAGGCGCACTAGACTCTTTTCAAATGGACAACCTTAAGCCTTGGGACATTGCAGCTGGAATACTACTTGTACGTGAAGCAGGTGGCTCCGTAATAGACACAAAAGGTATAATAATTAACCTGTTAATCCTCTATGTCAGGGACGAAAAACAGGGCAATCTTCTCAAGAGCAATGACTCGCGTTGTGACCCAAACAAACCAGGCCGCTGACATGAATGTCGCTTTAAGCATTGAAAATTTAACACTGGAACTACACATTAGATAAAATGATTGATTTTACAATCATATTAGTTTTAAAATCATTGCTTTTATTTTAATACTCCTACTTTGTGTTTTTTTCATAATATTTGAAAATTTTTAAATTTTGCAATGTGGAATTTGAAGATTTGAGAACTTTAGTATTTGGAGTTTACAAAATTAGGAATATGGAATACTTAGAAATTTGGACACTTTAAAAATACAGGGAGTTTGAAAATTGCTAATTGTAACATTTCAAAATTACGGTAATTTGAAAATTTACAAATTTGAGAATTTGAAGATTAGGAAATTTGCAAAAAAATCTAGGAAGTTGAGATTTTCAGGGATTCATGAATTTTCAAATTTCAAAATAATTTCAGAATATCAATCTCAAAAGTGTATACGGTAATAAACCATTTTTGCACAATTTTTTTTACACAATTTTGTATATTCATTTTTAAACAATTTTGTGTAATTCTGGTCAAAAGTTCCAGTGCTAAACATATACCTTTAATAACAAATAATTGCACAAATAATTTATTACGCTATTACAATATATGCAATATTTGTAATTCCACAATAGTATCTATAATTTTAATTGGCTTATAATAAATATTTCTAGTAATAACTTTTAATAAAATTTTCAAGTTTAAGTGAAAAAATTGTATTCTGTTTAGCGGAGCAGTATGATTTTATGAAACCAAACACAATAGCGGCGGCAAACAACACTCTAGCTATGGAAATAAAACAATTAATCCTCGACACTGATCTGAAAATACTGCGCAAGAGGTTAACGAAGATGTAATGAAGTGTAAAATGAAAGTGATGTAACAGTGTCTTAAGTAGAATTAACAATTCGCTCGTAAAACTTGTTAGGTATGTGATAAAGAAACGATAATTCGACTGCCATGTGCTGAAAACAATAAAAGTATTATTATATTTTTAATCGATTTAAACCATAGTCTATTATTTTAACAAAGGCAAAATCACTGGTAAAAACTTAAAACGAAATCGATAGAAGCATCTTTTATAAATCGAAAGTTTCGTTCTTCAAAAATGTTCAATAAATTATTGAACGAATCTATTACAAATTACTACTTTATAATTGAAAATTTCAATGTGTTTTTTTTTTAAATCAATTTTTCCTATTTGACGCGCATCAATAAATGTTTTATCAATAAAGAAACTTGTATAACTGTTTTCTCCAAGAAATAAAGCCTTCAAAATAACGAAATTATTTCAGTTCATTTATTTCACTGTATAATAAGACAACATAAATTTATAATTTTATGGAATCAAGGTTTTCAACTTTTATCATTTTCTAAAAATTTTATTCTGCTTTGAATAAGTAGAACAGTTATTATGCTGCACGTCACATACCACTTTCAAAATAGACTGTTTGGCAGCTGTTGAAATAATTCCTTGAATATTTTGTCTTAACTTAATGACTATTGCTTCTGATTGTAAATATAAAGATTCTTTTAAAATTGTATTGTACAGCTTCTGAAAAAAGGAATCCTCCATATTCTTCTTAATTATTAAAGTCATAACTATTATCATTGAAGATGGATTTATTATAAAAGAATTATAATTTTTCTTTTTTCAATGGTAAGTCATACTTAATGACAATAATACCGTTTGACGAAGAAGAAGTTTCATAAAATGACGAAGGATTGTTAAAAAACATTGTTGCAATTGTATAATGTAAAAGAACACATTACATAATATAAACAACTTATATTAGTGAAACAGTGGGAAGAATTCAAGATCGTATTAATTTTTTAAACTAAACTTTTTTTTACGGTAATCAATTCCGTGAAACGTTCAATATAAGAAAGTATTAGAGTGTTAAAAAAAGAATCATTAAAAATTCATTGCCCACCCAACAATATAACATTTATAAGAACATCATCTTTTATATAATACAATATTTTTAAGAACGTCATTTCAATAAATGTGACTTACTATTTTTGGTTAAACAGAATACTCTGTACATTGTAATTAAAAAAAAACCTTTATGACAAAAACCAAGTTGGAAAAACAAGAAAATGAAGCGTTAGAGTAAAATAGCAAGAATATACTGAGAATTTATTTGTTGCTGTGTTTACGCAATAAAGTTCATTGAATAACAGATAAAGTCTTTCGAAATGACCTAATGAAAGAATTGTCTGATGGATACTGAAACATTAATTACTCGTTGGACAGTTTAATCGTTAAATAATCAGTAAATCGATGACAATGACTCATGAAATTTCCGATCTACGAACGCATCGGATAACCAGAACAATTTAATTGATCTAGAAAAGATCTGTATGACTTTTAGATCCTATATAAAGAATAAGTGAATCACGGAGTACAGGTAACCTACAAATCAGATAATTATTACCACGAATCGAATCAGGAAAGCGGGGATTTTAATGACTAAACATGTACTTTAAATCTGCATAGGAATTTTAACTCGAATGAAAGAACCATTTTAATGAGAAACTCAATTAAAACTAAACAAAAGAGTGATTCATTGAAATATGCAAAAAAGGAAATTGTAAAAATAGCAAAAAACTTAATTTAATTAATTTAAGATCGTTCTATAAAACACAAATATATTAATTTATTGATTTCTGTTAGTGTTTCGAAAATTTTATGTATTTTTTTATTATATTATTACGTTCTTTTTAATTATTTTCTGACTGTATTGCTTAATCTATTTCTTTTTCTCTTTTATCAGAATTCCATTTTCAGTTTCAGGATATATCTTCTTTCATACAGATTTTTTAAATAACTTAGTTGTTACTTTAGGATCATGTAATCTCGGGATTTTTTTACTTCTTTTCGGTGATTTACTGAATTTAGGTAATTTCGGCTATTAGTTATGAAATATAGATTTTAAGTAACTCTCATAAATATACGACAGCATAATGTGAACTACAATTTTTCAAAAATATTTAAAAAATCTTTTTGGAAAGTACTTGTAATTTCTTTTTTTTTTCAGTACAAAGAAATACAAGATTTTAGTCAAACACCCTCATACACTTTAGAAACGAAAATATGTAAAGAGAAAAATAACGTTATTGTTATTTTTTATTTCAACTAAAAAAATTAATCTCTAAACAAATTGACTATGTTACCCAACTAATACATGTGAGATCAACTATATAATAAAAGAATGTTATAAATATTTGTTTTTCGGAAAAGTTCAAAACTGTCGCGCTGACAATTTTATAATTACGCTGTACTGCGTGTTAATGCTAGTGGTTGAAGTAAATTCGATCGAGTCTTGTTGAATACTACACATGGTGTGCCGACTAATTTTGTTATAACTATTTTATGGTATAATTGATTTCTACACTTGAAGTTACTTACTGTTATATACTAGGTATCGATTGGGTCAGGGTTAGGTAGGATTAGGACATGGTTAGGGAAGGACAAACCAAGGTTAGGTGGGGTTGGGAGTCTAAGGGTGCTAGTCGGACCTCTCACCTTCTCGTGGGGACCTCTGGGTTGAAGGACCTCTAAATCGTCTGGTATAACTTCCGTTGAGTACTTGATGGTGAGAGCCTCTACGCTAACAGGGGAACGGCGTGTGTGCATGTGTGTGTAAATGTTACGAACCTACGTGCTCGCCAAAGTATGCCCAATGAAATGAGAGGCTGTACCAGAAGGGTCTTAGGGCCCTGACAGGTACAATCATGCTGAGAAGGCTCAAACAGAGGACAAAACCGGTGCCGGCGTTGAATGCAAGCGCAAATGGGCCCCGGTTAGTCGTTCCTGGATATATATTCCCGCGAGACTAATCGAGGGAGAAGTAGTAGCCCCTTAAGCGTTTCGTCTAATTTCAAAGAACATGCCGCTTGGCGTCTGCCGGAGCGTCGGTTGCACTTTCTTCCGGATTCATTTTTTCTCTCCTTTTATGAAAATTCCCGGGTTTCGGCACCAATTATGTGGGGACTGAGGTTCGTGAAGGAGAGCCCGGTGTAATAAATAATGTACGACGACGTTTTCTTGCTATTTGCAAGGATTGCACTTTTTATTAATACGCGCACGTGCTGGACTCTTTCGCTTTCGTACAAGAAGTGGAAGAACGACGTTCTTCTTTTTCGCGCCGCGTTCCTTATAGACTAGTCTTACCAATTACTATTTACAACTTAAGAGTCAATCCTAAACGATCGAGGCGCCCTCATAGAGTGCAAGCGAATGGTGTGAAGTTCGTCGAATGTTCTCTGTCTATTTACTGTGTTTTTGGTTAGAGAGACAAGGACGGTAAATATGATGTTACGAAAAAACACGCATTACGCGAACCAAAACGCCTCTACGAAGAAGTAATATTTCAACATGATTTCATTTGCTCTCAGAGGTTTAATCTAGGTCGGTCTCAGGGCCGATTTTGGAAAAATTTGTTATTCAAGCGGTTCGGATTTATCGAATTACGCGAGCCAAAACGTCAGAAGTTTAATCTAGGTCGGTCCACGGGCCGATTTTGCAATTTTGTCCAAAACAATTTTATGCACTGAAAACTAACATTTCTTATAGAAGAAAATTTTTCACGTCCCATTTTTCCAAAATCGGCCCGCGGACCGACCTAGATTAAACTTCTGAGAGTAGTATGCAAAAGAAATCATGTCGAAATATTACTTCTTCGCAGAATCGTTTTGGCTCGCGTAATGCATGTTTTTTCGTAAAATCATATTTACCGTCCTTGTCTCTCTAACCAAAAACACAGTAAATAGACAGAGAACATTGTACGAGTTCACACCATTCGCTTGCACTCTATGAGGGCGCCTCGATCGTTTAGGATAGAACCTTAACCAGATCTGTGTGGGTTGGTAGAACTAGACCTATACTGTTTAAGATGGCCAAACCGTACGTCCTGCATGATACGCAAAGAGGCCTAGACGCACCATATCAGGGGAAGCTGGCTCGCACAGATAACTCGAGCCAATCCGGGGGTTGAAGTGGCAGTACCTGGGCGCAGAAGTGAGGACTGCAGATTGGTCGCTGGTCGCAGGTTTATCATTATTTGATGATAAAAACGTGGCACGTCAAGCTCGAGATTTTAGGTCAGGCGCCGGATCGGATCCAACGTCGTTCACTTGACAAGGATGGCGGTAAAAACCTTTTGGATTAACTATGGCACGGGCCATTTTATATAGAGTCAGTTAGTGGCAATAGAGTCAACCGCCTAATAAGCCGCCTCTTGGCTTGGCATCGCATAAATAGGATACAACTTCACCGGGAAAAGTACTCACACTGCGATGTGGATCCGATGATCGGTGAATCCGAAGAATTTATACTCTCTAACATGACTTCAAACAATTCCAAAAACAAAAACGAAAGGGAGGAGGAGAGAACAGAGGGGAAGGGAGCATGCAAAAGGAAGTTTTACAGAAGAGGATGGGGGAGGGAGTTAGCATCCAGGCTAACGAAGATGTCCCTGAAGATGCTCAACATCCGGTGCATCAAAATATCTGATCTTCCGGTCAAAATAGAGGTGGTGGAAACGTCATGGTCTCAGGCTCAGGATTATATTAGCTTATCCAATATATGAAAAATTACCCTGAACTCAGTTTTTCTTTTACATGGAAATCAATCGATTTTTAAAATGTTTGCAATGAATTTATACGTAAATGTGATAAACAAAGATAAGTAATAATACATTTTTAATAATAAACATATTGTTTATATGCTTATTTCATTACGTGTGAAAAGCTCACAATATTGCGATTAAACTATTATTCAAGAAATAGTAAAGCTGTATACTTTTTACAAAATAATGTACTAAAAACACTAATTTCGCGATTAAAATTGTGCTTAGTAAATTTGGTATATGGTTCAACACTATATAACGTAAATACTTATATATTAAATTGAAGAATATACAAGTATTGTTAAACATTGCAAATTTTTATTATGATACCAACAATTTAATTTTTATGACAGTTTTATTTCATCAATTCAATTTTTTTGAGAGGTTTATGCTGTGAATTTAACTTTTATGTCAGTTTTATGATACCATCGACT